GTCCCAAGCTTCAAGAGACCCGATCTATTTACGGTTTAGGGAGATTATGTGAGGTCCAGAAGGGTCGAGAAAGATACTTCAAAGTTTGTAAACTCTTGCATCATAAAAAAAATGCACATGTTGTTCAGAGCATCACCAACACTTAGAGCATCAAGTTATGGCCGTCAATCATGTTTTGACCAAGTACCTCGTCGCTAGGACTGCCTCCAGCAGTCTGCGTAGTGGTTACTCAACAGCGATGCAATAGCTCGAGATGTCGCGTACCCGCAAAATGCTGCATCGTCCAATCATCAGCGCCGACTCATACGCCATGGGGTCGTCAGCAGATTGACTGCACTCGCGTTCTCTCTCCCTTCCCCTCCTCACTCGGGAGTATCCCTTTGTAGAACGAGCCGCTTTCTCACTACATATACGCCTCTATTCCCTCCCTTCACCATGTCTCGCCCAGTAGCTCCACACGAGTTTCCTCCTTGCCCTCCCGGCCCCTCACGCCTTTCATCGCTCGCACGCTCTTCCTCAGTCCGCCATCGCAGGCTGCACCGCTACCAGCCTACTAGTCCAAGCGACGGTTCAGCGTGCAGCGCCAGCTGTCCGCTAATCCCGTCTCTCATCACCATGGCGCGTGGCGGGCCGCGTTCTACCCTTCAAGCGGCGTGCCTCGCCGCGGTCCTCGCTGGCATCGTTGCTCTAGCGCTGCTCCCAGGAACCAGCGCGCAGGATGCGCTCGCGGAGGCCCCGGATCAGCTGTGACATCGCAAAGCCTGTCGCATGGTGTGGTGCGGCGTGGTGTGGTGCGGCGTGGTGTGGAGCGGCGTGGTGCGGTGTCGTGTGGTATGTGGTGGTCTGCAATGTCCAGCTGGAAGCCAATTCTGAGGTTCTGTCTGCAGCACGACATGGAGTGGATCACACGCCTTCTCATGCATCAGCCACGACATCTCTAGTTTGCTGTGCTCATGTATATCGTTTCCCTGCTCAACTGCATACACACTACTCTGCCATGCCTGGCACGACGTGCCTAACGACCATCTCTCATTGATGTGAACTTTTTGAATTGAACCATGAACCTTGCTGTGCCATTCGTCTCCCTCCTCGTTCACACTTTGTCCCTCCTCCTTCTCTCTATGAACACCCCATGCTTGTCCCACAGGCTGCAACGAGGACAGTGGGTCAACGGCTAAATGCATCGTGAGGGATGACAAGCCCGAGTGTGTGTGCCCGGTGTCTCAAGTCTTTGACGCCAATGGAAAGCAGTGCCTGTCAAAACATTTATGTTTACATTTATGTAGGCTGTATTGGGGATAGCCTTAGGGGGTACAAACACCTTCTAGACACTTTGCTTGTACCTCGCTTCCTTCACCTAATCACCATTCCCTAGCTATGATTTTTATATGGTATTAAGAGCAGTTAATATCCTAGGATGATTCTTTCTGCCCTGCCTGCTAGTTTGCTTTGCCCTGCCCGTTCGCGCCGCCCTGCCCCGCTCGACTGCGAACCTCAGCCCCACCCGATTGCGACCCCCTGCCCTGCAGCCCCGCGCACGCGACGTATTCCTCTCCCCCCTCACTACCAAGCTGCCAAGTGCGCGACGCGCCCCCCCCTACTTCCCCCCCTCGCCTATCCCCCTGCCCCTCCTTGCTGCCCGCCTCCGCGCTGCTGCTTAGCAGCCGCTGCCTCGCAACCCCCCCACCGCTGCCCCGCTGCCCTGCCTATGCCCTGCGCGCCGCCTCTTGCTGCCGCGCGCCCTTTGCTGCTGCGCGCCGCCCTTGCTGTAGGTGCCACTGCCCCTTCAGCCAAAGCCACGTCTCCCCTTCACACGCACCTTCTTCGAACATGCGCCCCACAAACGTCTCCCCCCTAAACGTCTCCCCTTCACACGCACCTTCTCCGAACCTGCGCCCCACAAACGTCTCCCCCCTAAACGTCTCCCCTTCACACGCACCTTCTCCGAACCTGTGCCCCACAAATGTCTTCCCTCTAAACGTCTCCCCTTCACGCGCACCATCTCCGAACCTGCGCGCCACAAACGATACAACCCAGCTTGTAGTTCGCAACCACCTCCCGCCTGACCAGACGACCCACTTTTGCCAGCTGCAAACAGCCTTTGCCGCTACAACCGATACTGCTACTGCTGCAGCCGCCCTTGCCACTGCAGCCGCCATATCTACCGCTACTGCAGCCGCCCCTGCCCGAACTGCTACGCACCGAGCGGAGCCGCCCTACCGAGCAATCCTGCATACCCACGCCACGCAGGCCTAGCCCTGCCCCTTGTTCCTAGTACTGCCTTCTTCGTCACAGTCGCTAGGCCACGTCGCTCACTATGGCGACACCCACCGTACTGAAGTTTGACGTTGAGGGTAGCTTGATCGACTACGAGTCCTAACTAGAGGGCCTTCACCTTTACCAGGGACGACGTCTCTTTTTAGCACACCTCAAACTCCCTTCGGGCCCCACTCACTCCGAAAGTGCATGCCCCTAACGCACAAGCAGATGTACAGCAGAAGTATAAGACTAACCACGTAGCTAGTACACAGTGCTTAGCCCGCGACGACACAACATAGCTTGCAGTCCGCAACCACCTCCCGCCCGACCAGACGACCCACTTTTGCTAGCTGCAAACAGCCAAATTGCTCCATGATGCTGTAGTGAAGCGCTAATCCCCCCCTACTCTGCCGCCCTAGGCTGCCCGTGTCGAAGTGAAAGGCCCCACCCTCGCTTGGGCGCAGACGTTCTCTGCGGCACCATGGTGAATTCGACGAAAGCGGCCGTCGAATTGGCTCCCAGGTTTAGACGACCAGCACGTCCTCTGAAACGACGGGTGGTTTTCGAGGAGGTCGTCCTCTGGTTGGCTAGCTCATCGACGAGCTCTAGTCGATGAGGTGCCGTTCGACGAGCTCGTCCTCTAATCCGCAAGTGAGTCGCGCAATCGCTGACGAGCGGGGTACTTTTCGAGGAGCCCCGTTCTCTAATCGAAGGGCGCTGTTCGGCGAGCCTTGTCTCAGCGAACTGGTCAGCCAAATGTGGGGGGACTGCGAAGCTATGCAAAGGCATGCAAATTTCGCCCAGGAGGTTTTAGCGAAATCCGACATGTGCAATGGCATCACGTGCTCGACGGTGGATATCTGACGAAACCGTCGGAACGTTTTCTACCTGGAACCTACGCAATGTCTCTAATGGTGCAACCGTCTACCTGCACCTACTTGGTAGGTATGCACCTGTGCGCAGATATTCACCTGCGAATGCAGCGCTGGCAGGCTGCCCTGCTACAGCGCTGGCATGTCGCCCTTCTGCAACACTGGCAGGCCACCCTGTTTCAGCGTTGGCGAGCTGCTCTGATGCTGCGCTGGCAATTCGCCTTGTAGAATGCTTACTAGGGATTGCATTGCCATTCTAGTCATATCTGTCATAACATATATGTTTATATACTATGTAGGCTATATGGGTGTTAGCACTAGTGGGTACAGAATTTCTCTCAATGTTGTTCTTGTACCCCTCCCTTGACCTAATCACCATACTCCTAAGATTCTAACATGGTATAGAGCAGGTAGGTCCATTAGGACCGTTTTTTTTCTAAGAACCTGCCCCTTCTACTGCCCGTAGCGCGCCCCTTGTGCGTACCTTTTCGCTGCCCGTCGAGCGCCCCTAGCGCGCGCCGTATTTTCTGCCCGAAACGAGCCCCTATCGAACAAGTAGGTCCCTACCCTGCGTGCGCCTCGGTTACTACTCTTCGCGTGCCCCGTACGCTGCCCCACGCGCCCCCTATTTGCTGCCCGTCACGCGCCTCATTTCCTGCCTAGTGTGCGGCCCATACGCCCTGCCCTGCCCTTCCCCGTGCCTTACCGCTGCCCTTCCCTGTCGCACGCAGTCCGTACAGCCTGCGCGCCCCTCGCGTACAGCCCGTACAGCCCCCGCGCCGCCCGCGTGCAGCCCGTACAGCCCACGCAAGGCCCGCACGCAGCCCGTACAGCCCGCGCCAGGCCCGCACGCAGCCCATACAGCCCGCGCCAGGCCTGCGCGCAGCCAGTACAGCCTGCACCAGGCCAGCGTGCAGTCCGTATAGCCCGCGCCAGGCCCGTGCGCACCTGCCCTGCCGCCCGCACACCTGCACTGCTGCCCTACTGCCGCCTGTACTGCTGTGGCTGCACTACTGCTGCTGCCTACGCTACTGCTGCTGCTGCATTGCTGCTATTGCCCTGCACCGTGTTGTGCCAGCAAGCGCGGCTGCCCTGCCCTGCCTGCAAGTGTGAGCTCTGCCCCGTGCACCTGCCCTGCTCCGCACTGCTACTCTGCACACGCGGCTGCCCTGCCTTGCCCCGTGCTGTTGCCCTACTGGCCGCGGCACCCTGCGTTGCCCACGAGCCGCTCGCCGCTGCGCCGCCCTGCCCTGCCCGCGCGCCGCTAGCCGCCGCGCCGCCCTGCCCTGCCTGCGCGCCGCTCGCAGCCGCGCCGCCCTGATCTGCCTGCGCGCCGCCCTGCTGGCCACCGCCCTGCTGGCCGCCGCCCTGCTTTGCCCTGCCTGCGTGCTGCCCTGCTGCTAGCGTGCCCAACTACTTTGCCCGCGATAGCTACTCTTAGTATACTCTTGTTCGATGCAGAGGGCCGTCCGATACAGTTCAACGCGTGGCTAGATGACCTGCAGCTGTACTTATTGAGCGACTCTAGAGACGGTGTCTCGCTGTTTGACCTCACGTCTGGCGCCTCTCTCCCCCCTCCCGACACAGCTGACAGTGCGACTCGCTCAGAGTGGCTTACACGTGACGCTGCTGCTTGCCTAGCCATTCGCAACCACCTACCATTAGCCAAACGCGCTCGCTTTGGACAGCACAAGACTGCTAGAGCCCTGTACGACGCTGTAGTTGCTCATTACTCCTCTCCGGCCACTACTGCTCTAGGCCGCCTCATACTGCCTTACCTGTTCCCCAAGCTGTCCATCTTTGCCACAGTCGCCGACCTTGTCACTCACCTTTACACTAGTGACACTCGCTACCGTGTCACGCTTCCCGATGAGTTTCTAGCCAAGGACCCTCCTCCCATGTACATCACACTCTACTTCATCGTCACCCGCCTCCTTGAATCTCTTAGCGCAGTCAGGGACCTCCTTCTCGCCCTTGACCCCACAGCCCTCACTGTCGACCTGCTCGAGAAGCACCTCCTTGCAGCTGAGTCCAGCATAGTCGCTGTAGGCGCTTCTCGTGGCACTCCTCGTTCTCCCTTCTTTGAGGGGTGTTCCCCCTCCCCCCTTGTCCTCTCAGTCGCTTCTGCTGCTGCTGGTGACTTCCTTCGTGCTGAGGAGGTCGGGGCTGCGCCTGCTCCTAGTGGGAGGCGCCGCAGCGGCAGGGGCAAGGGAGGCAAGGGTGGTGGAGGTGGCAGCGGTGGATGCGGTGATGGGCGTGGTGGAGGCGGTGGAGGTGGCGGTGGTGGCGGTGGGAGTGGAGGCATTGGTGGCAGCAGTGGTGGCGGCGGTGGTGGCGGTAGTGGGGGTGGCGGCGGCGGCGGTGGTGGCGGCAGTGGCGGCAGTGGGAGTGGTGGCGGGAGCAGTGGTGGTGGTCGGAGTTGAGCTGTTCAGTGGGGAGGTTCTGGCGGTGGTCAGAGGCAGCAGCAGCAGCGTCCAAGAAAGACCCCTTCGCCCCAGCAGCTTCCTGAGTGGTTTGCTAAGCGTGGGGCGTCTAGGAGGAGTGTTCGCTACCCGTATGTCATTCGCACAGGTGGCCGCACTGGTCAGACATGCGAGAAGTTTCACACCCAGTACCGCTGCTTCTCCCGTCTTGACGACGCCTTTCGCGCACAGTTTCTCAACGCGGCTGAGCTCCCCAACTGGGCAGAGCTGCTTAGGCAGGGTGTTGATATCTTTGCTCTTGACTATGATGCTATCCTTGCTGCCATGTATGCATTTAATTTTAGTGCTGAGGGTGACTGTTACCTGTGTATGCTGCCCGACCCGGGTATAGAGGCTGCTACTCTAGGTGCTAGTGAGTCTGCTCTCCCTGGTACTGCGCCTGTTGAGGCCTTGCACACCTTCACGCTTGACTCAGGTGCTTCCCGCTATTTCTTTCACGACAGTACCACAGTCACACCACTCCCTGCACCTGCTGCTGTCAGACTGGCTGACCCCTCAGGGGGCCCAGTTCTTGCACTTCCCTCCACTGTTCCCCCGTGTCCGGTGGTTCCGTCCGACTCACTCTCAGGTCTTCACCTCCCCTCGTTCTCTATGAACTTGGTGAGTACAGCTGTCCTTCAGGATGCGATGGTTACTACCACCACCCCTGGGGGTCAGCGTGTGTCAATCTGCACGTGTACACGAACGGGCCATCACCTGGCCACGTTCACTAGTCGGCCTGGGTCGAGTCTGTACACACTGACTACTGAGCCTCCTCAGGTAGCTGCGTCAGCGTCTGCGTCAGGTCAGCTTGCAGCCCCTTGCTCGTGTCGAGCCCTGTCGCACCAAACTCTCCTTTGGCACCACCGCCTTGGTCACCCCTCCCTGCCACGCCTCCGTGGCATGCACTCCCGTCTCCTTGTCTCTGGTCTTCCCAGGTCTCTGCCTCCCCTCCCACCCTCGCCTGCCCCTCCCTGCCTTCCCTGTGTCGAGGGGCGGCAGCGCGCCGCTCCTCACTCCTCCTCGTTCCCCCTGACGACTGCTCCCCTGCACACTCTCCACATGGACGTGTGGGGCCCAGCCCGCGTTCGTGTACAGGGGCGTGAGAGATACTTTCTGCTAGTTGTTGACGACTAGTCATGTTACACCACAATCTTCCCCTTGCGCAACAAGGGGAATGTCCCTGATGTTTTGATCCCTTGGATCCGCGCTGTCCGTCTCCAGCTTCGCGAGCGGTTCGACAAGGACCTTCCGGTCCTATGTTTGCACTCTGATAGAGGTGGTGGGTTCTCCTTCGACCTCTTGCGGGACTTTTGTCATGGGGAGGGCATCCGCCAGACGTTCACGCTTCCGGCCTCTCCGCAGCAGAATGGGGTTGCTGAGCACCGCATTGGCTTAGTCATGGAGGTCGCTCGTACCTCCATGATTCAAGCGGCTGCCCCCCATTTTCTGTGGCCGTTTGCAGTCCGGTACGCTGCGCATCAGCTCAACCCCTGGCCCCGTGTCTCCATGCCGGAGACCTCGCCGACACTACGTTGGACGGGAGAGGTGGGCAATGCGTCGGTGTTCTGGGTCTGGGGATCTCGTGCCTTTGTCCTCAATACCATCGCGGACAAGCTCTCCTCTCGCGCCATTCCGTGCGTCTTCCTTGGCTTTCCCCCTGACGAGCCTGGCTGGGAGTTTTACCACCCCACCTCGCGCCGTGTCCTGCCCTCTCATGACGTCACGTTCGACGATTTGGTTCCCTGTTACCGTCTCTTCCCCTACCGCACTGCCTCTCTCCCTCCCCCGTCGCTCTTCCTGGCACCAGGTCCTCCTCCGGTAGACCCCCTCCCCCCTTAGGGTCTTGCTCCCTCATGTGTGTCCCAGGTAGACCCTGTCGAGCCTGTCGAGTTAGCTGTCGACTCTGGTGCTGCTAGGGGTGCTGTGTCTGGGGGTGCTGAGCCTGAGCGTGCGGAGCCTGGGGGTGCTGAGCTTGGGGTTGCTGAGTCTGAGGGTGCAGAGCCTGGGGGTGCTGAGCCTGAGTGTGCGGACCCTGGGGGTGCTGAGCTTGGGGGTGCTGAGCTTGGGGGTGCTGGGCCTGAGCGTCCTGAGCCCGGAGGTACTTTGTCTACTAAAGGTCCTCCGGGTGCCTTGTCATGGCGCGAGTGGTTTGCTCGGCGCTGGAGCCTTCGAAATGGCGCTGGGGGGCTTGCCGCTGGAGGCACTGGAGCTGTTGGTCCTGGAGGTGCTGGAGCTGCTGAACATGGAGGTGCTGGAGGTACTGGAGCTGCTGGAGCTGGAGGTGCTGCAGGAGTTGGAGCTAGAGGCGCTGGAGCTTGAGCTGCTGGAGGTACTGGAGCCGCTGGTCCAGGAGGTGCTCGTACTGGAGGTACTGGAGCTGCTGGAGTTGGTGGTTCTGTAGGCGTTGGAGCTTGAGATCCTGGAGCTGGAGACCCCAGAGCTGGAGGCGCTGGCCCTGGGGTTGCTGGTGCTGTTGGTGCTGGTTCTAGAGGCACTGTGCGGCCACGACCGTACTTCGTTCCGCTGCTTCAACAGGTTCTTGGTCTCCCGTCTTCTACTGGCCTTACTCCTCCCTTACAGTGTCCACCGCCTGACCAGTCGCAGCTACAGTTACAGCCAGCCTCCCCACTGCCTGCTCCTTTTCCTTACACTGAGCAGACCGGAAGTCTTACAGAGCGTCGTGAGCCTGCGTCTCCTCCTGCCTCGCCTGTTCGCGCTATTCGCACTGGTCGCCGTGTTCCGCATCAGCATCCTCCTCCTATCCCTGGCACGCACCATTTGGCACTTCGTCCTTCCTCTGTTCCATAGAGTGTCCCCCTGCCGTCTCCTCCTGCGTACTCTCTTGCTGATGGCCGGACCTTGAGTCTGACTTACTTCGTGCTGCTAGTCCTACTGTCACACGTCTTCTGGCCACTGTTGTCACTGACCCTTCGTTTGAGTCCACTGCTGCGTCTGCCCTTGTTGACTTTGCTGCCGCCTGTCGTCTCGACTACGCCCCTAGTCTTGTTGCTGAGTCTGAGTCTGTCTGTCCTCCGTCAGTCGGGGGTGAGTGTGCTCTTGGCACGGACGTCCTTGAGGACAGGCAACAGGACTTTGAGTGTTTTGCAGCTGCTGTACCTCATCTCGTGTCCATGCTGATTGCACCTGAGGGAGACCCGGATGCACCAGACATTCCGACCCCGCGCTCTTACGTAGAGGCGATTACGGGTCCCTACTCCTCTTAGTGGGCAGCCAGCCATGGACGCAGAGATGGCATCCTGGAAGTCCACAGGCACTATCCTCGACGCAGTTCCCCCTCATGGGGCGAACATAGTCGATGGCATGTGGATTTTCAGGGTGAAGTGGCCGCCGGGTTCTCCGCTTGCCTTCAAGGCTTGTTACGTTGCACGAGGCTTCAGTCAGCAACAGGGAGTTGACTTCTTCCAGACCTTCTCCCCTACCCCAAAGATGACCACTCTTCGGGTTCTACTACACATCACTGCTCAGCGTGACTACGAGCTTCACTCTCTTGACTTCAGCACAACTTTCTTACAGGGCAGCCTGCACGAGGAGATCTGGCTGCGCCGCCCACCAGGCTTCACTGGGTCGTTTTCCTGCAGGTACCCAGTGGAGCCTCCGGCGGCCAGTCTACGGTCTCTGCCAGGCGCCTCGTGAGTGGCTCGACACACTAAGGACGACACTTGCGGCTCTTGGGTTTGCTCCTTCGACTGCTGACCCGTCGCTGTTTCTGCGCACCGACACTTCGCTGCCGCCGTTCTACATCCTCGTGTACGTCGACAACTTGGTCTTTGCCACTGCTGACACTGAGGGTCTGGCCCTAGTGAATTCGGAGCTGCAGAAGAGACACACGTGCACAGTCCTGGGTGAGCTGTGCAGCTATCTTGGCTTGCAGATCATCCGGGACAGAGCACAGCGCACCATTACCTTGACTCAGTCACACATGGTGCAGCAGGTCCTTCAGCGCTTCGACTTCCAGTACTCCTCGCCATAGTCCACTCCTCTGCCTACCGGTCACTCGCTCTCAGCTCCACCGTCGGATGAGTACGTAGAGCCGAGTGGCTCGAATCCAGAGCTTGTGGGCTGCCTCATGTACCTGATGACCTGCACACGACCTGACCTTGCCTACCCTCTTAGCATCCTGGCACGCTACGTTGCGCCTGGGAGACACCGACCAAACCACTGGAAGGCCGTTAAGAGGGTGTTGCGCTACTTGTGCAGTACGTCGGGCATGGGCTCGTGCTTGGAGGGCAGGTTCCAGTTGTCCTTACTGGACACGCAGACGCTTCTTGGGTTGACGACTTGGCTATGCAGCGGTCGTCACAGGGTTACACTTTCAGTCTTGGGTCCGGCTATGTTTCTTGGCGGTCTACCCGCTCGTCTTATGTTCTCAGTTCCAGTTGTGAGTCTGAGATCTATGCAGGGGCCATGGCTGCACAGGAGTTACGCTGGCTCACCTACCTGTTGACCGACTTGGGAGAGCCGCCTCGTTCTCCTCCAATTCTGTACATCGACAACAAGGCCATGATTGCCTTGTGTCAGGAGCACAGACTAGAGCACAAGACGAAGCACATCGCTCTGTGTTACTTCCTTGCTCGAGAGTTGCAGCAGCGTGGTCAGCATCGACTTGCTCACGTGGCCTCTCGGGCCAACACAAGTGATATATTCACCAAGGCACTTCAGCCTTGTGATCATCAGCGTTTCTGTACTGTTTTAGGCCTTGTGCCTACTTGGCCTCACTTGCCCACTTCTTGACTTTGCTTGTACTGTGATCTATTTACTGATATATGCATGCCACTTGCTAGGTTTTGATCACTGTAATGTTTTTTCTCCATTATATAACTCTGCATGTGAACTGGCCTTGTCGCCATTTGCTTGTGCTCAGAGTGTGTGGTGACTTCGTGATCCACCCTGAGCTTGCTTTGCTTTGTTGCTTCTCTTGACTGGTCTTGTGACCATTG